ATGTCCGAGGGACTCAGGCACCCAGGACGGTGATCGAACAAGCCGGAGGATGGGACGGCGCCCACAGCTGCGGCTGGTCAAGGTAGGAGCGCGCCCGGCGGTCCCCGAGCGCGGGCGTCCCCGCCACCCGGTGGGCGCGGGGCGGGTGGCCGGGATGGCACGCGGGAGAGCGGGGCAGAGCCTCGCGCAGGTCCAGGACAACCGGGGTCCGAGGGGCAGCGCGACTCTCGGGCCCGAGCCGAGGCCAGGAGGGTGGGGACAAACTCAGGTACAAAAAAGGAGCCGCGGTGGCGACACTGGCCGGGTGCTGGCGGAGGAGGGCCGCCCACCGGCGGGGACAGCGCGGCGCGGAGACTCCGCGGGGCTGTGGGGCCCGAGCTGCTGCCACGTCCATTCCCACCGCGGCCCTGGACCGGGGGGCTCTGGTGGGTGTCCGCACCCTGTCCCTAGCGCCCTCCTATCGGCTCCCCGGCTCCACGAGCCCCTGCCCAGGGCTGGGGACGTGCGTCCTGCCCATGCCCTGTGCCCGCACCTCCGAGCCGCGCTGGAAGTCGCAGTGCCGGGGAGGGGACGGCGGCCACGGCGGCGGGGAGCAGCGCTGGCTCTCTGCACCTCGGTCCCGCCGGTCAGCTCGCTCCCCCGCCCTGGGTCTGGCGACGCTATGGTGGCTCGGAGTTTAAGAAAGTGGCCAGCCAGGCAACCCAGCGTCTGCCTTTGAAGTTCGGAGCGGCAGGGAGCTGCTGCGGGAGCTGGGAGCCGAAGGAGGACTGGGGACAGCCGGCCCACTGCTCGTGACGGCTGTCACTTCTCGGCGGAGCGCTTCCCCCAGAGCCTCGGTGGCCCAGCGCGCGCACGTCCGCAGCAGCCGGCTGGGGTGGGTGGGCCTCGGCCGCCGGGAAGCTCCGAGGATCGCGTCTCTGGACCCCGCAGGGTTGGTGTGGACTGCCTGGGCCACAAACCCGGGTTTAACCAGGCTCTGTGCTTTTAAAAGCGATTATATTCAAAAGAATGACATGGATTTGGGGGAGGGACGCGGATCGACTGGACTTGTTATGCCACCAGTTATTAAACCAATTGTGTGCCTAACCCTTTCAAGAAGTGGTTTAATTGAGTCAAAGCTCCAAGCTGTTAAAACAAATTGCTAAGATTCAGCAGCTGAGACTTCAAAGGCCTTTCCCCTCTTTCCCTCAAAATGTTGTGTATGGGGTTACTTTTTTCTAAAAAAATAAAATAATTTTTTAGAGGCCATTGAATTAGTCAGATTGAACCCATCTCCCTTCCCCTACCTTGGCCGAGGGATGAGGGCTGACTTGTTTTCGGCATGATCAAGGAGACCTCACAAGGCAGGTATAAGGAAAGACAAGGAGGTTGATGAGATAGCATTGGTGGGTGAGTGTTTCCAAAAAGCCTCAGGTGTGCTAAATCTAGGTCCAAATTCACAAGCCAGACGGAATCCAGTCTTTAAAAGAAATCCAAAGGACCGACTAAAACCCATTGCTTCTTCCCCCCCAACCTCACCAGTATGCATGGTAATAGGGAAATTATCTTTCTCTGGCTTTTCCTAGAACTGTGTGCAATTCCCTGTTTAGAATTAGCAGGTGGATTAGTAGTCTTTTTTCTTCTTGTAGACGGGGTAATGAGGTCTTTGCCCTTCGTGCCTGGTCTGAAGAACCGGGTAGGCGCCCTAGCAATACTAACTAAACAGTTGCCAGCAAAGGAGTGAAGGGGTCAATTCACGGTGGCCTCAATTAAAGTTATTTGTTTGTCTTTTATTTATTTGTGTAGTATGTGCAAGGTGCAGGACAGTGCCTCACAATTACTGTCATTTTATCCTCACAACGGCCCACGCCAGAGGAAATTTTGCTCCCATATTATAGATGAGGAAACACACAGAGAGGCTAGGTAACGTCTCCAAAGGCACACGATGAGTGGATGGAGCCAGAATTCAGACTAGCTCTAAGACTTTTTTGTTAGCGTTTGGCAGAAAAGATACTGAATCACTTAAGACTTATCTTAGACCTCCACTAGATGAGAGCGTAGATTGTTCTTCCTCCTAATTTTATTTTTTCCTCCTGAGTTTATATTGTGATTTGAGTGAATATTTACAGAGCAAAGTGGTTTTTCATTCAACAGTTCATACCCATTCTGTTTCGTGACATTGATGACAATCTTGAAAATCTAGCAGCACTCTTCTCACATCCTCTCTGTGTTTACCACTTCTGTTTGTCCTTCCTTCCCATTCCTTCTTGCTTCTGAGTTGTATCCCTGGACAAATACTATTCTTTGGGCCTCGTGTGACCAGTTGTTCTAAGGAGTGAGTTGGTAAGTTCAGTTTGTTTTGTGAGTAATGAGTCTTTGGGAGTTATGGGGAATTAAAAAAACTGTGACCTCAACAGTGCCTAGCACTGTCCCGGGAGGTGTGACTACACCTAGAGGCACTTTGGAAGAAAGACCTGGTGATACAGCTTTCAAAAATATAGCTTTGAAAACCCCAGGGAGTACAGTGCTTCACCGACACCCACACCCGGGGAGTCAAGTGAGGCAAAGTGGACTTGATCCCAAGTGTTTTTGTTTCTGTAATAGTTACAGAGAACTGCAGAAGAGTTATTATGTGAGTATGTGTGTATGAGAGACGGAGAGAGAGACGTGGGTGCATGTGTGTGAATGAGAGTGAGACATTTACGTGTGACAGTCCAAGAGTGAGCATGGGGGTGGTATGCGTGCGTATTTGTGAAAGTGAGTGTGCATGTGTGTGAGAGTATGTGCATGACAGGAGGTGTGTGGCTGATGGATGATGCATCTGCATACGTGTGAGAGAGCGTGTGAGTGCACGTGATAGAAAAAGATGTGCATTTGTGTGCGTGTGCAGGAGAGGGGGTGTGTGAATGAGAGACCTGTAGAGTGAGAGGGAAGATGAAGGTGAGACACTATCTCCATTCGCAGGGCCTGCGGAGGAAACACACCCAGGTGACCCTCGGGGTGGGGGTCCCACAATGTTGCTTGGAATGGTGGCTGTGGTGACTGGTGCTGAGAAAGCAGGGCCTCATGGTTCTTCACGAGCGTGAGTTCTGAGAGGGAGCTGGCTGTGTTACTATTATTATAAAAGCTTTCTTTCAGCATTACACTAAGTTTGAAAACCAGAGGGGAGAATGATTACAACCTGGCCCTCCTAACATGACTGTTACCATTAAATAATGTCCCCTGCAGGCTGGTGTGAGCACAGCTATGGCCACTGGGTGCCTGCCCCCCTCACGGTTGTGGCTCCAGCCTGTTCCATGGAGTTTCTGAGCCTTCAGTGTCTGCTGATTGCCGATGAATGCATGGCCTTTGCTGTCCCTAGATTGGTGCCCAGTTGGGCCATTTTGATAAAAATGGTGAACTTTTATTCCTTTGATAAACAAGGTGAAGCCAGTTTTTCAAAGGAAGCATTCAACAGAAAGAAGAAGGAAAAAGTGAGCGCACACTGAGGCTGTGGGGGCACCCCCACCCCTGGCACAGATCAAGAGCAAGTCAGAGGCTGAGGGGGGCTGGAAGGCAGGCCAAGCCTTTCTCATTCAGAAAGGGCGGCCTTAGAGAGAGCCCGAGATCAAGTCAGCTCAAGGAGCTTATAGGCTGATCCAGAAGCAGGACACTGATCCCGGGAGGGTGAGGACAGGCTCGATGAGGAGCTTCTCTCACCCCCTCTAACACTGGCTCCTGGGAGAGAAGCTGCATCAGCAGACTGGAGAAGGAAAACAGCTGCACTGAAGAAGGACTTTGAGGTCAAGGGTTCCACTTAGCACCAAATGCCAGACTGCTCGTTGCAGCCATGGGCCTGAGCCCTGACTGAGCATGGAGTGGCCAGGAGGGCATTAAGTATGGGCCGATCCTTCCTGCAGCCATCTTCCTGGTGGTTGTTGAGCCTGTCTAGGGTCCCCGCTCTGCCTCCAGAGCTGCAGTGGTGTCATGTATAACAGGTCAGGCTGGAAGGTTGGTGGTTCAAATCCACTTGCTACTCCTCAGAAGTCAGGGCCGTCTCTCATAAAGATCTCAGCACAACCTCAGAAACTGATCAAGGGTCCCCATCACTCAGAGTCAACTTGACAGTGGGATCAAGATGTGTAGTTCAAATTCCGAACAGGTTACAAGGTGTCTGATATTAAAAAGGAAATGAGATCATGTCGGAAAAGCAACTGACAGCAGAAATTGGACAGTCAGTATGTGACATTTGTGCGACATTCACAACATTGAGCCCAATAATACCACAATGCACATAGTAGGTATTTAGCAAATGCTTGGATGGATGGTTTTATTGTTGATTCCTTCATTCTTATACTATGCAATTTGAATGATTCCATTGTTCCCAATAAGATGCAGGTGCCATGTCAAACAGGAAGGGGTCAAACTACCCTCAGTGAAAAGCCATCTCTGACACACCTTCCCCCCCACCCGCCCCAGCCCCCAGCTTGATGGGATGAATGATGGGAGAAGGGAGGGTTGGCAGTGTCAACTCCCCTCCTGCCCCAGGATGCTTTCCATAACAGTCAGACCCACCACTGGCCAGCTGATTCCAACTCACCCCTGTAGGATGGAGCAGAACGGCCCACAGCGTTTGCCAGGCTGTAAATCATTATGGGCGTGGACCAAATCCTCTTCTCCCACAGAGCAGCTGGTGAGGTCAAACCAACAACTTTTAAGTAAGCAGCTGAATTTCCTTGACCACCATACCACCAGGGCTTCTTGCTTGCCATAGTTTCCCAGGGGAGGGCGGGAGTGTAAGGTTGCTGGAGTGCAAAGGTTAAAGGGCAAAAGCGAATCCTCTGCTGTGGAGTCAATTCTGATCCACAGGGTCGGACCGTCCACCAGGTTTCTGAGGCTGCAAATCTGAGCAGGAGGACATGGCCTCATCTTTCTCTCAAAGAGCAGCTGGTAGCTTTGAACTGCTGACCGTTTGGTTAGCAGCTCAGCACACAGCACGCGTCACCACCAGGGCTCCTTTATAAAGGGCAGAGATGTGTCCAGTGGACCTTCCGAACATCTCTGACGTGGGAAAACATTTGACAACAAGGACTGAGGCGTGCAGGGTGGATAATGCAAAATGAA